TCCTGATTGTTGGGTCGGCTCCTTCGGTTCCGGGGGCTAAGGGCGCGGAGGGACAGGGGGTTGCCTGGTCCATCCGCTTCTAAGGAAGGTGTCGAAACGCAGCTGGTTCTGAGCTCCTCTGAAGCTCTGGTCCTGCCATACTTCCTCACCCCTTCGCTGTGGTTCATGGGCCTGGGATAGAGCCCTTTGTGAGTCGCACGAAGTTACGGACAAACCTTCTCTCCCCAGAAACATGCATTTTCACATATCCATTCATCCGTGTACATTTTAGGGAACTCAGAAACATCCCCTTGTCATCCCAGGATTCCTTGTCATTTTACCAACCGCCCGGTGCGGTAGGTATTATTTCCCTGTTTGAGAAATAAAACAATCTAGACAAGTTAGGGGTCGGTAAAGGGGACGGTCCCATTAGCTGTACGGTCAGACTTCCTGCCGTCCAGATTGCTCAGTGCACGTGCTTTCCTCTGCACCAGGGTGCACTACAGCAAGGAAAGCCTGCTTTGTATCAACGCAATAGTTGTGAGACCCACAGCAGTGTGAGACTGAAAGTAGTTTCCAGTATATTTAAAATTAGAACTGTGCGGGGGCCGGCAGGTGGCGCAGTGGTTGGAGTGTTGGACTCCCATATGGCCACCTCGAATTGGTCCAGGACCCCGGATCGAAACTCACACCTGCTGGTCTGCCCGGTGTGCCCAAAGTCCATGGAGGAGAGGAGATTGCGGGGTGGCCATCCCCACCTGGGAGGGTGATTTCTCACTTTCTGTTTCTCTGTCTCTCTGGCAAGTACATGCGCCCTATAGCAAATATCTTTCTCTTAAAAAAATTAGAACTATGAATATACAAATGTCAGGGCATTAATAATAATCCCTATTTCTGTCTGCATTGATATGACTGTAAGGTGTAGCTATCCCAATTTCCATTTGGATTAATATGAATATAAGGTGTGGATATATCCTGTTTTCATTTGGATTGATTTATCAGTTCCTTTAATTCTTGCTAGGTAGGAAGAATTAAATCACCAATCTGTTCTTTTTTTTGAGAGTTTTTTTTCTCTATAATTTAATATTATTTTTTAATATTAATATTTTTCAGTTTTTGATCAAAGAGAGACAGAGAAAGTGAGAAAGCAGGCACCAGGTCACTGCTGCTGGCCAAGTGGGAGTCCAACACCTTTAACCACCGCCACCTGCTGGCATGTCAATAAGCTAATATTTATGGAGCTCTTGTTGCTCTCTTCTGAGGGCTGTGTTATCCAAACAGCCCTTTAGGACCAGCAGATGGTGTAATGGTTAGGTCGTTGTACTCCCACATAGATGACAGCAATTTGAGTCTTGAATTTGGCAGCTTAAAACTCATACTAGGTGCATATGCATGCACGCCCAAAATCCCGAGAGGAGAATGGAGAAGAATGGATTGTGGGTGGCTACCTCTCCCAGGAGCGATTTCTTGCTTTCTGTCTCTCCAGCGATCCACAAAACCTATAACAAAAATCTCTAAAAAAAAAAAAAAAAAAATAAGAACCCTAATACCAGAGTTAGGTATTAGCCTTGTGTTTGAGCTAAGGAACAGAGAGCTTAAGTAACCTACCGAAGTCACCCTACTAATAAATGCCTGATTTAGGATTTGAACTCAGGCAGGCTGGTTCTAGTCTTCCACTGCTTCTCAAAGTAGGGACTCTGATTAAATCACAAATCTAAATAGTGGCTTAGCTGTTTTCCAAGGATGGCAAATGTGTTATACTTCACATTAAAAAATTAATGCAGGGCCAGCAGGCAGCACAGTAGTTAAGGGGCTAGATCACATGTGGTCTACTTTGAAATTTGAGTCTTGGACCCAGAGGCCTGGAAAACATTCCAAGCACATGTGTGTGCGTGCTTAAAATCTCAGGAGGAGACTGGAGGAGAAGGTATTGCACTGTGGCCATAGCCCCTGGGGGGGTGATTTATTACTTTTCCTCTTGCTCCATCTCTGTCTGTCTCTGGCAAGCGCATGTGCCCTATGGCAAAAAAACAAAAACATTTTATGAATGTGGGGCCAACTGGTGGTGGTTAAGAGGCTGGATTCCACATGGCCAACTCTGTGGTTGGAATTCCAAATCTGGCAGCTTGAAAAACTCACTGGGTATATGTGCGTCCCCAAGAGAAGAATGGAGAAGGGGCTGTGGCAAGGCCATCCCTCTAAGGGAGATTCCCTCTTGCTCTTGTCTCTGGTGAGTGTCCATGCCCTATACAAACAAAACAAAAACTTTGTAAACATATAGTGATTAAAAATAAACTTCAGGATCCTTTAATAGTTTTTTTTTGGAGAGGTTTTTGCTATAGCACACGTGCGCTCGCCAGACAGAGAGAGACAGAGAGACAGAAAGCAAGAAATCACCCCCCAGAGGGGATGGCCACGCCGCAATCCCTTCTCCATTCTCCTCTCAGGATCTTGGGCACGCACACGTGCCCGGCATGAGTTTAAGCCACTGGGTCCGGGACCCGAACCACAGTTGACTATGTGGGAGTCCAGCAACATAGCCATTACGCTAACTGCTGGTCCCAGGATCCTTTAATATTTAATGGATCATCTTTTAAGCATTATTATTGAAGGTCTGAAAAAAGCTTTTATGTATGGATTTTCATCATTTTGATTTACTGGATAAATGTATAAATTAAATTAATCTGTAGGCAGTGAATTGTTAATACTTTGGGGGATGCTTGATTAGTCAGCCTGGCCTATGTAAGACTGGAAAAACTGGAAGCCTCACTTCTTTTATGCCACATTTTTATCATTGTTGTTGTCTTCTACCCTTTTAATGCAGCTGTATGACTGTGGCTATCAAGATCTTCTTCCCACAAGCCCTCCGTGTACTCAGCAGAAAAAACCTGTGCCTCTTCCAAGAACATCATTGGCCTGATGTAAGACAGTTCAGCCTGTGGTCATTAACAGATCTGCTTCATGGGCACTGCTTCCAGAGGAGAAAGCCTGTTCTATCATTTCAGGGAAGCCATCTGAGACCACTCGCCACCTCCCTTGTTTTCTTACCAGGGTCGCATGTGGGACTCTGCAGTCGCTCCGGTGAGATGGCTGAACAACGATTCTGTGTGGACTATGCCAAACGAGGCACAGCTGGCTGCAAAAAATGCAAGGAAAAGATTGTGAAGGGCGTATGTCGAATTGGCAAAGTAGTGCCCAATCCCTTCTCAGAGTCTGGGGGTGATATGAAAGAGTGGTACCACATTAAATGCATGTTTGAGAAACTGGAGCGGGCCCGGGCCACCACAAAGAGAATTGAGGACCTCACAGAACTGGAAGGCTGGGAAGAGCTGGAAGATAATGAGAAGGAACAAATAAACCAACACATTGCAGGTGGGATGGAGAACTTTTTTTTTTTTTATCTTACTGCTGCTGAGAGAAAAATACAAAGAGTAGAGTCCAGTTTTCTTCTTTCTTTTAAAACTTATTTGTAAATAATTTCAACTCACAGAAGAGTTACAAGAATAAAAATAATATAAAGAATACTCATTTTCAGGGCTAGCAGGTGACATGGAGGTTAAGGTGGCTGAATCCCACATGACCAACTGCCAGTTCCAGTCTCTGACCTGGTGGCTTGAGAAACACACCAGGAATGTGCGTTTGTACCCAAAATCCCACAAAGAGAATGGAGAAGGGACTATGGGGTGGCCATCCTCCTAAGAGCTGATTTCTCACTCTTACTTCCACCCCCATCCGTCCATCTTTCCAGCAAGCGCACACCCTATAGTAAACTCAAAAACTAATTTTCTCTCTACCCAGATTATCCTATTATTAACCTATTAGCTGTACCTTTTGTGTTCATGTACTCCCTCTCTACATACACACATAGATTTTTCTCCTGTAGATCTTGAGAGTAGAAACATTCTCTTACTTGATATAATACAGCTATCAGCTTATATGTTTATCCTTTAATACTTAATCACTATCTGTATCTACTTTGTTGATTGATTGAAAAATATCTTCAGTGACTTTTTTTCTTCCAATGTAGGATCCTAGTCTAGGATTAGATTGGGTATATTGCATTTAGTTGTCATGCCTCTTTGACCTTTAATCTAGAACATTTCACCAGTCTTTCTTCTATGATACTGACATTTTAAAGAATGCAGTCCCACTACTATCCCCCTTTACCTATCAGCCTGTTCTCTGTATAGACCAATCATGGATTACTACCTTTTCCAAGTCGCTTATAGTTTATTACTTGACAGTAGCTCTAAAAACGAGCATCTACCCTTGTTCTTTGAGAGGATAAAAGAATTGTAGGAGAGAAAACTACTCTTGTACTCTTCATTTTCAAGCTCCCACTCCTGGGATACCTTGCCCTGCTATAACCATTGGCCTTAGCTTGTTACTTCATTGTTTTTTAAAGAATTATTTTACTTATATTTATTTATATTTGACCAAAAAGGGACAGAGTAAGAGAGAGAGAGAGAGAGAGAGAGAGAGAAAGCAAGTTGCTTTCTGGGACTTGAACTGGGGTTTGCCATATGGGAGTCCAGCACATTTAACCACTGTTCCACCTACTGCCCCCTACTTTTTTCTTGTTTAAAAGAATTAGTTTTATTTAACTTTATTTGTTATCATTTTTTCTTCTTTTTCTTTTTCATTTGAGAGCGAGTGAGAGAAAGTGAGAAAGCAAGCCCCAGGTCTGGGACTTGAACTACAGTTGGCCATGTGGGAGTCCAGCACCCTCAACCACCATGCCACTTGCCGGCCCCAGCCTGTTACTTCTTAACCCATCTTGTTCAGAAGAGAAATACAGGTGAAATTAAACTGTCACGTGACTCATAACTCAGCTGCTGGAAATTTTCCTATTTATGCCAAACTGACATGCTCTGTGATCCATCTTCATTTTTACTTTTTGATCATCTATAAATAGGTGCTGATTCTATACAGTATATATTTTATCTATCAAGGTATAATTTCTGATTTCCTCCAAATTCATTCACTTCTAGAAATTATATATAGAGTAAGAAGTGAACAATGTTGATAACAATTTAAGTTACCAATAGAAGTAAATGGTAACTTACCCTTTTGTCTTCAGAACACCCTTTCCTCTACTCTGCCCGATACCCTTTACCTACTACTTATACTCAAAAAGAGCAGCTCGCCCACCCATCAGCTTTGGGGGGGTGCTGTGGTAGTAACCAAACAAAGCTCTAATGGCAGTTGATAGATTCTTCAGATGCTTTCTCAGATGTCTGTCACTGAAAGCTGTTTTCCCTTTTGGGGTCCTACAGATCTATCTTCTAAGGCAACGGGCACTCCAAAGAAGAAAGCTGTCGTACAGGCAAAGTTGACAACCGCTGGCAAGGTGACATCGCCAGTGAAAGGTGCCTCATTTGTCACCAATACCAATCCTCGGAAATTTTCTGGCTTTTCAGGTACGATAGTTTACCTGTGCTGTTATGGTCTTCCTTTTATTTGGTGTCCCTCTAAGAGTAAAAATTCTGTGCTATCTAGTCTCTCAGTAATAAATCTGGGGCAGGCTCACTGCTGCAACTGTATGTGCTACTCAAGAGAAGCTGAATCCCACATGGTGACTGTATCCCTGCCCTGGTCAGTCTCAAATACACCAGGCTTGCATTCAAGTGCCCAGGATCCAATGGGCTAGAGGGCTGGAGGAAGGGATTGTGGCGTGACCAGATCCTGTGGAGGGTGCTTCTCTCTTTTTTCTTTCTCATGCACACAACATACACTCTACCGTGAGTAAAAAAATCCTAACACTTGCTCCTGGCCAGGTCAGTGTTGCAGCAGCAACATGCTGCCTGAGTGATATTGGAAGACCTTGGGTTCAGTTCTCCCCAGGCCTATACGTACCAACCTTGTATGCCCAGTGATCCTGGCTGACTGGGACGGTGAGAGGTGAATTGCAGCATGAGGCCCATTGAGGGGGCTTGTCTTTCTCTGATAAAAGGAAGAAATAATAATCATTTCTATCTGAGTAGACAGAGGTAATTACTAATTTTCAGTGCTTTACGGTGTAGCATTTCATTGTACATGTCAGTCTCTGTTACAGCAGAAAGTTGTCTGTTCTGTCAGTATTTTTCTCCCTTCAAGTATTTATCCAGGTCAGACAGGTTTTTATAATCTGTTCTTTACTCCCTTATTTTTTATTTTTTATTTTTTTGAGAGGTTTTCACTATAGGGCGCGTACGCTCGCCAGACAGAGAGAGACATAGAGACAGAAAGCGAGAAATCACCCCCCAGAGGGAATGGTCACGCCGCAATCCCTTCTCCTCCATTCTCCTCTTGGGATCTTGGGCATGCACGCACACGCGCCCGGAGTGAGTTTAAGCCACCGGGTCCGGGATGTGAACCGCGGTCAATTAAGTGGGAGTCCAGCGACATAGCCATTATGCTAACTGCTGGTTCCCTACTCCCTTATGTTTTGATAAGGAAAGAATTTTAAGAAGTTTCATCCCTGAACTTGCCTGAACTAGAGAGAGAAGTATGGAAGAAGGAAGAGGTCATGCATGAGCCATGTCCCTTTATCTCTCTTCTTAGTTTTTTTCCCCAACTTTTTACTTTATTTTATTCTAATTCAGTCAGAGGGTCAGAGAGAGAGAGAACAAGAATGGGAAAGCACCCCCTCTGGGGAACAATCACACTGCAATCCTTGTTTCTCTATTTCTCCTTCCTTTCAAGATTTTGGGCACGCACACACATGCCCAGTATGTTCCTTAAGCTGCTGGGTCTGGGACACAAACCACACAGCCAGCCATGTGGGATCGAACCACCTTCACCACCACGCTACAGGCTGGCCTCTCTCTTTTTAGTTCTTATAACTATTTGTTCAAAGGGATGGAATGTTTGTGGAATATGAAGTAGGAAGAAGTGCATCTGAAGGGTATTGTTGTTTGCTGGGAAGGCTGGTATAGCCTGGTGATGAAGCATGTGAACTTCGGAATCAGCCCTGAGTTCAAAGGGGAGCATTGTGGCTGTTGTTTGCGTCTTGTTGACAGGATAGATGAGCAGAAAACGTTCTTTCCCTTCTCTCCACTGCATATATACATGTATATATTCACATATACATATTAGTTCCTTTCATGTAAAATAAAGTATTACTGCTATTATTATCATATCTGCTTATAAGTTGGTCATTTGAGACCATTTCCATTTAATGTATATGTGTGTGTGTGTGTGTTTTTAAGTTTTTTGGGTTTTTCTTTGTTTGGGTTTTTTTGTTTTTGTTTTTGTTTTTTTGCTGTAGGGCATGTGTGTTCACCAGAGAGACAGAGAAAGAAGGAGAAATAGAAAGTGAGAAATCCCCCCGACGGGTTGGCCACACCGCAATCCCTTCTTCTCCGTTCCCCTCTTGGGATTTTGGGCACGCATGTACACACACCTGGTGTGAGGTTTTTTTTTTTTTTTTTTTTTTTGAGAGTTTTTTCACGGAG